CCATTTTTTTTAAAGAGAATCTGTCATTTTCCCTAATTTGGCAAAGGGACAAAATTATTTAAAGTGTTACTCAACGCACAACAGTAAAATTAGTCTGTATATGTAGTAAAGCTTGTTATACTCACTGTGGAACCTAAGGGGTTGATCTGCTGCATTGTGTAAAAAGGCTGTTTTGATCTTGTCTTCTCTGATCCTCCCATTCTTCTGCGATAGCACAGAGCTCTAGAAACTCTGCACATGCTCAGTTTGGTGTGCATTACTAGAGGTTTTTTTTTCTTTGGGAGGGTGCATGTGATCAGCACAGGGCCAATCAGCACTGTCCAGACAGAGGGTCAGGGGTCACGGAGCCTCATGGGACAGTCAGAGAAAAATGAAAGCTCTAACTAGTGCTCAGCCAGACAGTGATAGAAGTCACAAGACTGCTATATACTGCTGATGAAAAAAAGCACTTAGTAGTTTATATTTGCTAAAATAATAGCATTTCCATGTTCTGAGTACTGTGGGAGACAAGATATAGTGAATGCAGGGTCCTGGGTTTAGTAACACTTTAAAGTAAATGTGTCCCTTTAACAAAATGGTGGCTCTGCTCCTCTGCTTTTAGGCACCCCCAGGTGCCTAAACTTACCTATACCTTGACCTCCGTGCCCCCAATGTTATTGTCAATACTTAACCACAACCAGCATTGAAGAATGAGAGAAGTTACTACTTTCTTTTATCATGAATGGCAAGAATGGTGCCAATGTCATACTGTATTCAACGGTTTCTTTATGTTAGGACAGGTACACTTTAATGAGTAAAAAAAAGCTGAATTGTACCACACATACCATATACACACACACACTTGCTCTACATTAGACAAAATATATGCAAAATAGAGCTGCGAAACATGGCTGACTTTGTGTGTTATCCAGTTCTTGCCTTAGGCTTGCCACAGGCAGGCAGATGTCTTCCTTAGAACAGGTGGGGAGACATCTGGCCATATTCAAAAGCCCCGGGACCCAGCACAATTCCTCCTGCAACTTGGCCTACAGTACCTGCATAGGCGAGTTCTTTTTTCCGTTTTCTTTTAGAGAAAATTTAAAGATTGGTCCGTTCCCACAGAGATATGAAAAATCAATGTGTGCAATAACAAAGCATTTTCAACTGTTACAGGTGCTTAACATAGTTCCTAAAGGTCTGATCTTTGCCCATTAGGCCACTGAATCGGGGTGGGAACAACATGGCATTACATCTTGTATACAAAGACTATAGACACATAAGCCCATTTAATACCCATTTCTGCTCTCTCCTCTTTGAGTAACAACACTGCAGCAAGAATGATCAGATGTTTTTAAGTATTTTGTGGTTTGTCTTCAACTTTTTTGCAAATAAACAGGATTGACATAAACCTGTTTTTAAAGCTAGGTCTTCAAACTGTCCAGAGACCTTAGCAGTAGGCCCCATTTTTTTGTTTTGGCAGCTAAGGCATTCACTTATCCAAAAAGGAACCCAGCTCTGAAATACAGCTCTGTCCTTCCCCTGACACCTTTTATTGATTCCTTAACTTCTTGCCGACCGCGCATAGCCGAATGACGGCTTCACCGCGGCCGACCAGTTCTGAGTGGACGTCATATGACGTCCTCCCAGAACGCGCTCTCCTGCGCGCCCCAGGGGGCGCGCAGCCAGCGATCTCCGTGATTGCTGTGTCCTACGGACACAGCTGATCACGTGATGTGGTGAAAGGCCGATCCCACCGGCCTTTTACCACGTGATCAGCGGTGTCCAATGACACGCTGATCACAGGGAAATGCAAGTGCCGGTTCTCGGCTGCACTTTCCTCACGCTGTCAGATCGTGAGGAAAGTACTGCCGAGAACCGGCAGTTGTCAGAGCGGGGATCGGCACCGATCATCAGGGCACTGATGATCAGTGCCCTGATGATCGGTGCCCAGCAGTGACACCCGCAAGTTCCGCCCAGCAGTGCGCCCACTACCCGTTCCCAGCAGTGCCCAGCAGTGCAGTGCCCCCACCTGTGCCCAGCAGTGCCCCCACCTGTGCCACTCTGCAGTGCCACCTACCTGTGCCCAGAAGTGCCACCTACATGTGCCCAGCAGTGCCACCCACCTGTGCCCACCCACCAGTGCCACCCACCTGTGCCCACCAGTGCCACCCACCTGTGCCCACCCACCAGTGCTGCCCACCAGTGCCACCCACCAGTGCAGCCCAGCAGTGCTGCCAGTCAGTGCCATCAGTCAGTGCCCAGGGGTTGTGCCAGTCAGTGCCGCCAGTCAGTGCCCAGAAGTGATGCCAGTCAGTGCCGTCTATCAGTACCCATCATCAGTGTCACCTATCAGTGCCGCCTATCAGTGCTGCATATCAGTGCCGCCTATCCGTGACCCCTAATTAGTGCTGTCTATCAGTGCCGCCTATCCGTGCCACCTCATTAGTACTGCCTATCAGTGCCCTTTAGTGCTGCCTATCAGTGCCCATCAGTGCCCTATCAGTGCCCATCAGTGCCGCCTATCAGTGCCCATCAGTGCCGCCTATCAGTGCCCATCAGTGCCGCCTATCAGTGCCCATCAGTGCGCCTATCAGTGCCCATCAGTGCCGCCTATCAGTGCCCATCAGTGCCGCAAATCAGTGCCCATCAGTGCCGCCTCATCAACGCAAATCAGTGAAGGAGAAAAAATACCTGTTTGAAAAATTTTATAAAAGAAACAAACTTTTTTTTTTTTTTCAAATTTTTTGCACTTTTTTTAATTTATAGCGCAAAAAGTAAAGCGCCCAGTGGCGATTAAATACCACCAAAAGAAAGCTCTATTTGTGAGAAAAAAAATGATCAAAATTTCATATGGGTACAATGTTGCATGACCGCGCAATTGTCAATCAAAGTGCGGCAGCGCTGAAAGCTGAAAATTGGCCTGGTAAGGAAGGGGGTATAAGTGCCTGGTAGGCAAGTGGTTAATGTCATGAGATGTCTGACTGACCAACAGTAAGGGTGAAAGTTTCAGAACCCCCACTGTGCTTTGCAGCTTCCACAATGGAATGTCCAGGCACCTCTAGAAAGCACTGTTAAAGCCTATGGACAGTATGAAGATGCTGCAGTAATCCCAAGTTTACATTACATTACACCAGCTCACTGTGTCAATGCATGTGTGTACAGGGCTTTGTTAGGACCAGGCATTTCTTAGGAGTGCTGTAAAAGTTCCCAGCTGGCTGTGAGGTCTGCAGTCACTCTGCCACTGATCTTTTTCCCATTTCTCACTTACCATGACCTGTTCTGCACAGTTTCTCTGTGTGGAGGAGGCTATCTTGGTAAAGGAGCAGGGATTTTCCCCATGCTTCCTTATGGGAGAGCTGTCCCCTGATTATTGGTGATGTAATATTCATAAATGAACAGGAGAAATGCAAAAAGCTCAGATCCACAGAATGAATGAAGCAGAAGCAGGGAGATCCTTCTACTGCAGCTTTCTCTCCAGCAAACAGAGCAGGATATTAGTAATATCACCAAATCTCGTGACACTAACAGTCAGAAGCAGAAGTGCCTAAGATGATCCCAAAACAACAGATACACAGCTGTGGGGCTTGAGGCACAGAAGTACACTACTATTTTTTAGGCACAATCTGGGGTAAAATGTATATTTCCCAGGGTACTGTTAAGGCCTCATGCACACTGGATGTTTCTGAGGCTGCTTCTAGGGATGTCAGGTGTTTTTTTTTTTTTTTTTCCTGCCTCTAAACTCTCCTGCATATTAGCTTATATTATCCATGCACACACAGGCTTTTAGCAGCATTTAGTGTCAGGGGCTTTTAGAGACAGAATAAAAACCCACTGCCAGTGCATCCAACAGTAGCAGAGTTTTGGCAGAAAAAAACACTTGACGCTTGTAAACACGTGTAAACGTGTCTAAACGCATGTTAACGCCAGGCATGTTTAGCACGTGAGTGTTAATTAAATTCAATGTCAAGAATAAACTTTTACTCTGGCCAATTAAATTAATGTCCAAGCGCTTGATGCCTGTAAACGTGCCTAAATGTGTTACACACTTTTACAAGCATTAGGCGTTTTTTTCTGTCAAAACACTGCTGCTAGGAGGAAAGACTTCTAGGATAGTTAGCATAACATTCTGTGTGCATGAGGCCTTAGGGCACAATAACAATTTTTAGATATTACCTATAAGATAGTACATCTTCACTTACTGAGTTCAGGCCTATTTTAGGGATGCCTTGATTCACTTTTAGTTTTATGTACATCAACAAAGAGGGGTCTATTTTTCAATGTTTTCACTCAAGGTTTACAGTTTTTGTGTTGTAGGATTTTTTTTTTTAATTTTCAGGCATATAAACAATCAAAGAAACACAAACAGATAACAAATATCCACTTATTTTGAAATAGTAATGTCTCTACATTCCTATGATGCTATGCATGAGAGTAAAGACAGCATGCGCACAGACAAAGCCTTCAACGCACAGTACCTGAATTCGGAATATTATGCCTGTGCTACTTTACACTCATAGCAGCGCTTAGCTGCATACAGCCACCTTTACCAATTCTTGTCTATGGGTGGCTTTACGTAGCCCTGGGACATTATGGACACCAGAAATATGCAACATATGTAACGCAGAGTTCCACCCAAAAGTGGAAGCTTTGCTTGTTTGTCACCTCCCCCCTCCACTGCCATATTTGTCACTTTTTTTGGGGGGGAAGGGAGGAGTGGATACCTGGTTTTGACAGGAACCCGCTCCCACTTCCGACTCAATTCGCCACGGCGAAGTGAGCCAGAAATTCAGCCCTCCTCCTCCCTCCCGCAGTCTTCTGGGGCACTTCACAGGTCCCAGAAGACTGCCAGACCAATCAGGATGCACAGCACAACTCGAGCATGCGCAGTGGGCACCCGGCTGTAAAGCAGCAAGCTGTCACAGCCTGGTGCCCACAGTTTGAGGTGCTGGGGAGAGAAGGGAAGGTGTAGGTGAGCACAGCACTGGATCCTGGGACAGGTGAGTGTGTGTGTTTATTAAAAGTCAGCAGCTACAGTTTGGCATTTCTACCAACTTTCCTATTAATATGACCATATTTCGTGGACACATTTCTAACTCACCACTAGTCATGTGAGACACCTTCGCCAGCTTCTTTAAGACATTGTCCATACGAGACTGTGCTGTGTCCAATTCATGTGAAAAGTCATCCAGCATCCTTAAGTGAAGAAAGATGACAAAGATTTTTATCTGAAAATGTTAGTACAATTTCAGGTGCACTATACTTAAAGTAGTTCTAAAGGCAGGTTTTTTACCTTAATGCATTTAATCCATTAAAGTGTTACTAAACCCAAAACAGTAAAGCCAGTCTGCATATGCAGTAAAGCATGCTTGTTATACTCACTGTGGAACCTAAGAAGTTAATCCTCTGCATTGTGTAAAAAGGCTGTTTGATCCTGACTTCTTTGATCCTTCCCTTCTTCCAGTGCCCCCCTCTTATCTCCCGATAAGACATATTGTGTGGAGACTCTCTGTACATGCTCAGTTTGGTGTGTGTGGCTAGAGAGGTTTCTTTTTTTTCTTGAGAGAGTGCATGCGATCAGCACAGGGCCAATCAGCACTGTCCAGACAGAGGCCAGGGGTTCTGCATTCTCCTAGAGCAGAAATAAAACATCTTGTACAAGCTTTAACCAGTGCTCTGCTGAACACTGATAGAAGTCACAAGACTGCTCTAACTGCAGATGAGAAAAGGTATTTAGCAGTTTATATTTACTAATATAATTGCATTTCAATGTCATGTGTACTGTGGGAGACTAGATGTCCTTGGTTTAGTAACACTTTAAGGTAAAAAAAAAACCTTCTGGGTGCAGCTCCCCCCTCTTTTACTCACCTGATCCTCATCACACTCTAGGAATGGGAATGAGAGCCATGGGCCTCTCCTCATTGGCTCTCGACATTGGCTCCTGCTAGCCAATAAGAGGGGGGGTTGAGACATGCTTAGTGTGTGAATGGACAATGTCAATTCACAGGAGCAAGAGACTTGCTATTGGGGGCAGCTGGTTGGGAGAGGAGCCAGGACCCCCCCCCCCCCCCCCCCCAAAAAAAAAAAAAAAAAGGGGGTCGGGGCTTCTCTGTACAAAACCATTACACAGAGCAGGCAGGTATAACAGGTTTGTTATTTCAACCTTTAGAATCACTTTAATAATCAGATATTGTGATGTAATTGCTACACATAACTAACAAATTTGAATATAACTCCATAATGTCAGCCTTTTGTCAACCTAAAACGGCTGATGACTTATATTGTATATTGCCCTCCACTACAAATTAACTGCAAAGTGAAAGAAAAATTGATGTTTTTGCATAAGGTAATGTAACTAATGCATGTTTATATACAAATGTATGATAATTGGTGAGTTCCAACAGTGCTTTACAGAAAAAATAGAAGATTTAGCTAAAAGCTGAAAATAACATATAGCAATGAAAATTATTTGTTTATTTTTCACTCCCTCTACCATAACAGGGCAGGCCTTCAAAGCTTCTAGTTCTTTGGACACTCACACAGCTTGTTCATCCAGCTCATTGCCAATGCGTTGTGACATATTCTTCAGCACTCCAATACTCCCAGATACCAGGTTCAATTCCTCATCCTGCTGCTCCATGATCAGCTAATGTAAATGAAGAGATGTCAAAATCAGCAGTCATACTGACATATTTAAAAACACCTTGGGCAATAAATAAACAGCCCAAAAAAAGCACTTGAAAGCCTCAGAGGTGCTTCCTAGTTCAAACATAGATTACCCATACTGGAAAAGTTTTGCAGTCCATAATTTCTTGTACAGAACACACACCGCAGAATAACAAACACAAATTTTGGGGCCAATGGCACAGTCAGTGGTATGATTGCAAATATCTTTTTTTAGCCATCTCTAAGGCTGGCATTCTGACCACTACCATAAGTTGAAGATGAAAGAGGGGGAAGGGGTGGGATCTTTCCATTGACTACTAATGTCAGGGGACACACACACACACACACACACACACACACACACACACACACACACACACACACACACACACACACACACACACACACACACACACACACACACACACACACACACACACACACACACACACACACACACACACACACACACACACACACACACACACACCTCAGCAGGGGTTTTCCAAACATAATTACAAGGGTTCCTGAGGGGTAAAAAGTTGAGTAAGGCTGGTTTAGGCAGCCCTTAACCTCCCTGGCGGTATTCCCGAGTGTAGCTCGGGGTAAAATGTCAGTGCCAAAAGCGGTAACCCCGAGCTACACTCGGGCTTACCATGCGGCGCTGCTCAGGGAGTCCCAGCAGTGCTTACCTTGTCCTGCGCTCCCGCGATGTGTCCCCTACAGCGTCCCCAGCCATCTCCTCTGGCTGATGCCGGCATCCGCCTCCTGTGTTCCGGTCCCTGTGACGTCGGGACGTACGGGCGCCGCCGGCGGGAAATTTGAAAATTTTATTCAAAACAATTTTACATAGTAAAACATTGCTGTTTCAACCCATTTCACATACATTTTGTCCCTAGTGCTCTGTCCTGTCCCCTGTCTGCATTTTGACTGTTCTTTCTGCCTGGAAACTTAGAAAAGTCCATGGCGTCCAAAAAGTGTCCCTTTAGGTCAAAAGTGGGTTTAGATCAGCTACAGAACAGCGATAGTAAATCAGAACCACTTGATGGGTGATGTGGGGAAATCCGTCATCAGACACTGAAAACGATTTTGCGACTTTGCTCAGCGATGTGCGAACTTGGCGCTATATTTCAAATTTCAGTGTTTTTGGTTTGATTATATTTTTGAATTAAAAATGTATTATTATTATTATTTTTTATGATTATTTATTAAATTATAATTTATGATTTTGTGTTTCAAATTTTATCATACCCGGGATGTTTACTAGACTCTTGTTCGGACAGATTTCAGTGAGTTATTCCTAAATATTACAGCCTACAATAAAAAAACTACATATTTCCATGCAAATTAATGGTACCCGCTTTCAGCACCAAAAATCTGAAATAATCATACCGCTAGGGAGGTTAAAGTGTACCTTTCAGCTCATAAAAGTGTACAAACAGTTTGTGAATCCCCACATGGTCTTTTGTACACCCAAGTAACCCCCTCATTCCTAAACGCATGCTAAACAGAGAACCTTGACATTTGGACTGACTTACATCTGTCCACCCCAGAGCTAGATCTGCCTAGTAGTGGTGTTGCTTTAGTCTATTGAACGGAAGGAGTAGAGGGAAGAAGCTGTCACTCCCTATATAGTGTGCTACTGGAGCCAGGCACTTGCGTGACACACAGAAAAATTACAGATTAACAAACATGCTTGAAATCTGGATGCCCTGTTGCTTGCTTTGCATGCATTTATGACTGGACAGTTCCCTTTAGGATGAAAGGTAAAAAAGTAATGTATCTTGCAAGGTATGTGATTTCACTAATCACAAAACCGTGAAAATACAGCTTGGCTTCATCTGCAGAGCTTGAAATAATACAAAAGAGAAAAAAAAATAATCCTGACTGTAGTGCTGCAGACATCTGGAACTATGGAATTATAGGCCACAGGCAGGCTATCCGAATATGATCATTATGATCTGGATGGAGTTGTGTATTTAGCCCAGTGCCCATTTCACAATGCATTCATCACAGGCACTCCACAGGAGAGGTAATCTGCAGAATAGAGGTGGATTTACACTGCGTGATACAAAACCATTCACTCTTCCCGACACAATTCTTTTAAGCATTCATTAACCCAGCAGTGCAAAAGACTTATGTCCTTCCACTCACTTTCTATAGGAAAAGCACAGAGGATGTCCTGGTGCTGGGCAGCACAGACTTGAAGACACATGTACAGTGATAACGAGGTATTAACTGTGAGCTCCTGCCTACTTGTCTTGTTTTCTTGTCATAGCAAGGTAACGTTTACATGGTTTTCATCTCTTTGAGAACCAATTATTAAGAATGATGGAGTGGTCTCAATAGAGTTGTTTATATTGCCACTAATGTGATGCCAGAAATTTGTGGTTGTTGGTGGGGTGGGACCCAAAGAATCTACTATTTGTTAGAACGTTGACAAACCCTTTATATCGTTTGATATCTCAATGTTAATTTTCCCCCATTTTTTTTTATTGTGCTAATTAAACCCCAGTATATTCCACCAAGCCTTTTAAATAGAACACAGCATAAGCAACATAAATCATGACTGAAGCAAAGTGGTATACAGAACCCATTAGAAACAACTTACCATTCAACAGAAAAAAAAAAAAAAACAAAGAAAAACAGGCATACATAACAATTACCCATATACGTAAGCAGGGGAGGTAAGGGGCTCTTCTACATATAGCTTTAGGTATCAGATACAGCTCACAATAAGGTCACAAGAGGTGGGGACCCATCTGTGTAAAGGTTACTATACAAAGATCAATACTGTCACACAATAAGGCAAATCAATGCTAATTGATTGGCTTTGCGTTGCAAAAAAATCACATCAGAAGATTGCCATTCACATCCCTAATAATCTCTGTCTATTCTTTAGTAAGAAAAGCAGAGATAAGCCAGCACTCCTTGACATAGCCCAAAAATTGTGCATATCCAGGGAGTTCAGGATTGCTCTGGTTGCAAACAATCAGATGTGACCATGCACTCTGTAGACACCTTAGTACATCAAGGTACCACTCATTTGAGACTTTTCAGTTTTACTGCAAAACCCGTAAAAAGTATTTAAACCCCAACAATAAAATTCTCTTCTTTGCTCCCTTTTGGCCTGTTAATTGTATACAGTTTTGTTATATCTACTTGATAAGTGCAAAAAAAAACCCCAACACTTTTGATCATGTCACAAATTCAGGTCCTGTATTCTGTGCATTCTGCCTGTGCAATCTTAAAAGGTGTAAAACACCAGTGCCTAGCTCACTTCCTAGGACTTCAAAACACTTTCCCCAGTGTTATGAAGAAAAGAAGAGAGGTATTCCGTAGTTTGGAAAAAGACAAATGAGCAGGGCTGACAATATTCTCTCCAGTTTCAGACAGTGGAGTTACATTTACTGATGCAGCTCTGCATATAAACCAATCTGCTTTCAGGTTTTTTGTCAAAGCTTAATTGAAAAAAGCTGAAGTTAGAAGCTGATTGAATACCATTCACAGCTGCACCAGATTTGTACTCTCTAGCTTAAGCCCTCATGCACACTGGATGTTTTGATAAAGCTGGTAATGTTAGCTGTGTAAAGTCACGTTAAAAACGTCAGTTCTTCAGCTTTTTTTTAGGGTTTTTGCATTCTACATATGAAAACGATACTCCTGTTACTTATCATCGTGCATGCCGTAGTGAAAGCAATAACTCTAGACCCATTATTCATGGTTAACTTTAAACTGTGTCACCTATGGAAAATATAGGGTACCAAAGTTTGTTGTCATTTTATTTTATTATTTATTACAGGTACTTATATCAATTTAGGCAGCACCTTACATATATATTGTACATTCACATCAGTCCCTAACCCTCAAGGGGCGTATAGTCTAAGGTCCCCAAGTCACATTATTTGGTGGGCAAGTGCATATTTATGGCTTGACATGTTGGGTATCTATTTACTTGTGCAACCTCACCTTTTATATTTTGCCCAAAAGTTGGTTTATTGCATTTGTGTGCCCTAAAATTAACTTTAGTGTATTTTTTTACTGAAATTGTACACTTGATAAACCATTGTGCAAATATTGTGTGACAAAAAATATTGGAACTATCACCATTTTATGCTCCAGGGTGTCTGCTTCAGAAAATATATACTGTTTGGGGTTTTAACTAATCTTTAGGCCCACATGTGTGCAAAAAATGCAAAAACCGGCTGACAGGTAAAGGGTTAAAGGAACAAAATAGAGGAAAATGTGCATGTGTTGCAGAGATGTCCTGCATTTTTTCATTTTTTTTTTTCCCTGACACTATGCATGCCATACTCTCCCTGTATTACAGACATCTTACCTGTTGTTGTGAAACCTGCCCCTCTAAAAATTGTGAATTTGCTGACTGGATCTCTTGGTCCAGCCCTTTAAACTTGTCTGGTTCACTGTTCCAGCCCCGTCTTGTCCCTTCTCCTAAAAGTGCCTGCAAAATCACATTATAAATGGTTAGCATCTGGAGTATTAAATTCAATTACTCTTAAATCTTAATGAATTAATGTATCAGTTTGACAAAAATAAAACGTATGTAAAACCAGTGAGAAATACCGTATTTTCCGGCATAAAAGACGACTTTTTAACCCATGAAAATCTTCTCAAAAGTCGGGGGTCGTCTTATACGCCGGGTGTCGTCTTATAAGCCGGTATCGGAGGAGGAAGACGAAGACGCTGAACTGGAAGAGACGGATGACGCTGAGCTGGAAGATGAGATGACTGATGTCTGAGCAGCTGCACTGTCAGGACCTTCCATCTGCCCCTCTACAGCACGAGGATCTGGAGATACCAACCATTCCCCCATGACCAACCCTGAGCGCCCCCTTAACAGAGCACTTTGATTGGCTAAACTTACCGGTACTTCCGAGCCGGTGTAGCGGCAAGGTCTTGACATATGGGGGGGCATGACATGCGGAGGACAGTGACATGTGGGCAGCCAGTGACATGGGGGGGGGGGGGGGGGGGGGGGAGGGGCCTGCTATGGGGAGGACAGTGACATGTGGGGGGGTCAGTGACATGGGGGAGGGCAGTGACATGGGGGAGGACAGTGACATTGGGGGGGGACAGTGACATGGGGGAGGACAGTGACATGGGGGAGGACAGTGACATGGGGGAGTCTTATACGGCGAGTATAGCCCAAACCCTATATTTTAACAGGAAAAGTAGGGGGTCATCCTTTACGCCGGAAAATACGGTATATAAACAGAAAAATAAAAGTCAACAAGCTCAGGGAGTAATTGTTCCCGTACTTTGAGCATATATTGGCAGCTGTCTCATGGGTTAGCTTTGCTTTCTCTTGGATTATCAGTATCACAATGCTATTAGAATAGGTTGAACTACATAGACTTTTTTGCTGGTCCTATTTACTAAAAGGTTTTGCAATATACAACTTTCTACTTTCACCAGCATAACTCAGGGAGATTTGCTTGTCTGCAGAACTGGCAAATTAGGTCAAATACATGAATGGACAATTTTTTTGGGAGACTGGGCTAAGTGTACCCCCTATGTGATAGCACTATAAAGAGACTTTAGGGGTCACCTTTGTACCCCATTAAAGATAATCAAGCACATATTATGCTTGATCAGTTTCTCTCTCAACCACAGAGGCCAGGAAATGACAACTCGGAAACTGGAAGTGACAAGAAGTTTGGCATTTCTGGCTTCATTCAGTGAACAGACAATGAGCGAATGGATGCATGCTAGTGTAAAAAATCCCAACTGCAGCAACCTATGGCAGACCCTAGTAACACTACATTGAGTGGCTGCAGCTCTGGTATGCAGTTTAGGCATGGACACAGAAAAAAAGTCAGGTTCCAAGGTTAGTAATACACCAAACATTGCAACATGGTATGGGGATGATTTCAGACTAAATTTGTCAATGGACTAAGGATGCATTGACAACGCAAATGCGAGTATGCGATCAGCTGCAAGAACCACAACAGGGTTTCTTGCACTTAGCAGCAAGTAGGAAATCCATTGAAAGCAATGGGAAGCTGCCAGATCTCACGGCTAAACATACCCACTCGTATGTAATTGCTCAAACAATGATCACATGCAAGTGATCTGTGCTGAACAGATGCAGTCTGCATCCAGGGCCGATCATTCACATGCGATTGCTGCTTGATTGATTACATGTGAGTGGGCACAATTAGCTATGAGAGCCAGCAGCATTCCACTGCTTACAATGGGGCTACCAACTCACAGCTAACCGCTGGGGTTCTTGCAGCCGATTGCACACAGGGTGCATTTGCAAGTGCGATTGCACCCTAAAAGGTGTTTTTTAAATTTTGGATAACATTAGCTTTAATAACCCTTGCTTCTTGCTGGACCTGTTCACAATGTAGTGATGTATGAGAAGACTTATAAACATGGTGAAAGCTTGACATCTACAGCAGAGCTGTCTCCACCTCGGAGTTCTAAAGCAAAGCAGACCTAGAACATTATTTAGCATTCACAGCACAGATAATAAGTCTAGTAACTTGAGAGCACAGCAAGTGATGCATACACATACTCCCTCCACAGTATGACCTAGTACTGTTCACCAAGGAGACGACACGTCACAGACTCAAACAGCTGCGAGAAAGTGCGAGCGAGCTCACCTGCCGGTTTTTCTTTTCAGCTAAGGCCTGAACAGATGGACTGGTCATCTGATCCTTCATTTCCTACGTGGGAATACAAAAAAATTACTTTGTCAGTTACAGTTTGAAATTTAAATCAACGGATCCTCAAGCTTTCAAGAACTGAAAATGGAAAGCTGATTTTGCTTGTGACAACAAATGGCATTGCTAAATAAGACAAAAGAAAAGTGACGAAAATCTTCAAATTCTAGAAATGCACTTCAAACAAATGTTCAGCTAGTGAATCAGACAGGAAATGGTCAGCACTCTGCATGGTATTCACATGACAATTCAAAGTAATCAGACAGCCATAAAAGCACACGCTTTTACCTTCTCATTTCCGACTGAAGTCCAACTCCAACCAAAGCCTTTGTAATTTTATATCAAACTGGGAAGGGTTGCTGCTTATGTCAGGTCTGAATTCATTCCTGACATGTCAATTCACACTACAGATCAACTATAATTTTTTTTTTAAAAAGCTGTAACCCATCATTAAATGCAGTGACTTTGCAGAGGCTGAGAGGTTGATGTCAGTCTGCTGCAGGCAGGAGGAAGCATTTACTCAGTTTTATTCCTCTCATACTGCAACATTTGTAGAAAGTTACAGGGTGAGAGGCTGGAGCTGACCCTGGATGGTGCGTGAACAAAGATGGTGCATTATCCTTTTAACAGAAAAACAGATGAAGCCATCATCAGCAATACAAAATATGCGATATTCAACAAATACCTGGATGTTTTACGCTTACAAATGTAGAAAAAATATATATCTGATGCTAGGGTCACTTTAAATGCTGTCAGTGGAGGACATATCTCTTCCTGGGTCTGTTTTATATCCATTGCCTGGGTAGGAAGAGAAGGGAAAATACCCACATTGGCATGCAGACAGCAATATAATCCTTACAGAGGTTCTAATCCATCCCTACTCTATGTCAGTATCTCCACTAGGTAGATTTTACCAGACAGGAAGTAAAGAGAAATATCTCAAATGTGGACACAGACAGCAATAAAATGTTGGCAGAAATTTTAACCCTTTCACATTTTGTCCAAATCAAAAAAAAAATATATGTGTCTGTGTTTGGAAAGCTAATGTGAATATTCCCATCGCACACGTTTCTGGAATGGAATCAGAGGTAGAGGGTGCTTCAGCAAAAGCCAGATGGAGACATCATAGGTCAATGTACATATTTGCCAGCACACCACGGATCATCAAATGTCACCCAGAAAAAATGATCGCATCATGAAGAACAGAGTGCCAGTGATGTGATCGTTTATCAATAAAACGTTTGGACCACATTTGATGATCTGTGGTGTGCTGGCAAATATGTACATTGACCTGTAATTGGGAAGGGTAGCTACTTATGTCAGACCTCTTTAAAGTGGAGCTACACAGATTGCAAACACTTAAAGGGAAAGTACATTCTATTTTAGTGCACATATAGTATTTTGATATTATTGCAGCTTACACCTAAAAGTATTTTCTGATACGACTCAAATTTTAGATGCTAATTTTCCCATGTTTTTGCTATTTCAATATAAGTAGATATTTATCGATTAGTCACCTTCATATCTCATTTTAAAGAAAAACTCATATCTATTTATACTTTGTAATCACATATGTACATACGTACACTACATGTGGATAGCCAAATTTGTATAATACAATCAAGGAAATATATTACAATTCCCAATATGTTATAAACTATTTACTCAACAGTGACTACCGTTGATACAGCATAGCTTTCCTTTAAAAGTCTTAATAAATACTGAGCAGATGACAAAATAACAGAAGGATCAACTAACTGCTGCTGCACAGTGAAGATTTTGTAAGGGTGACAATGAGTAGACACATGCCTATTTTTCCAGGGACATACAGGCAAAAATATGAAAGGCCTCTGTAATTCACTTTGCAGGTGAGATCCAAGCAGACACCAAATACCTGTGGGAAATGGCTACACTTTATATAACCTTCTCCCTGATCCTTCACACAAGGCAAAGCTATGCATCCATTCACATCCCTGCTGCGATTCTCACCTTGACACACTGCCGGGTTTCGCTGATAAAAGCTTTTCTCTGCCTCATCTCTGCTGGATCCAGACTGAACTTGCGAGGATTGGATTCAACAATACGTGAGTAGAATAAAGGAAAACACAGTAGTAAACAGAGGCAACAACTGATTGGCTTCAGCTCTACTGTACCACAAGAGCTGACTGAACCTACGAGGATAGCAGGACTGTCTTCCTGTCATGGAACAAAAATGATTCCATGCTATGTTGCTCATAAAAAGAATGGTATTTAATGCAACTAGCCCTAATCATCATTTCTATACACCATACACCTTCAGTAAGGTGTCAGAAAACATGCATGAAAAGAACATGCCAATAACAGGACAGAGAAAAATATCTCCTGCACAAATAGCTTGCTGCATCTGGTCACTTGTGACCTTCATCATTGTCTGTGAAACCTAGGGATGCACCGAAATTGTGGCCACTGAAACATATTGGCCGAAAATAGCCAAATGCCGATAGGAAAAATTTAGCCGATACAGGGGACTTTGTGTACTACAGAAGTGAGGAGGGGTGGGGGGTTGGCGGAAAAAGTCAGGAGAGGAGCAGTGTATACAGTGACTGGCCATCACTATATGTCAGTGCTGGTCTTTAAATGTAATTACGGCTTTTTTTTTTTTTTCTTACTATAGCTCAGAGAATCAATTGTCACTTTCCCCCCAGCTAAAAGAAACAAAGTTTCCTTTTAGTTTATTTCCCTGAGTTAAAAGAAACAATCTTTCCTTTTAGTTTCTTTCCTGGATAAAAGAAACAAAGTTTCCTTTAGCTCTGGGGAAAGTGACAGCTAATTCTGTGAGATATAGTGAAGAAAAAGAAAAAAAAAAAAAAAAAGCCGGCAATTTCTTTTCAAAAATCAGCACCTACATATAGTGACAGCTAGTAAGGGAGCCTCTCTGTATACACTGCTACGTCACTGTATACACTGCTCCTCTCCTGCCCCCTCCACTGCTCCTCTCCCCCCTACAAAGAGGACCTGTCACTCATATGTTATCACATAGGGGACTATTGGTCCCCTAAGCAATAGCAATAAAATCATAATTTAAAAAAAAATATATATATACATGAAAGTAGAAAAAAAAATTGTAGCATCCCCACCCCCACATATGCAGACATTTCAGTTTTGGTCCGGTTTTCGGATACATGCATTCTGAATTTTCGGTATCAGTTTCGGCACCAGAGTTTTCATTTTGGTGCACCGCTAGTAAAATCCTAACTGTAGTTTTACATACAGCAACCCTGCACAAAAAAAAAAAAAATAAATAAAATAAAATCAGAGAATAAAAACTGCAAAAAAAGAATCTCAATACTTACCTTCACAGGGTCTGTACCCAGTGATGTATTTAGGTTTTGTGCTGCCCTAGGCAACACAAAAATCAGCCACCCCCCCCCTTCCCCCACAGAGAGAGCCTGAGCCCAACCAACACCACATCCCCCACCCCCTACTTAAGAAAGCCTTCCACTACCACCACCCTCATCCCAACCCACCACCCAGCGAGAGAGAAAAAGAAACTCACCTTCACAGCTCCAGACATTCCCTGGAATGAGAGTCAGGCTCTGCATACACTGTCAAGCATTCCGCAGCCTCTCTCGGATCCCACCTGGTCCCCATGCCGCATGTGTCCCTTCTTCCGGGGAGCAGTGCTGCCCCCCTAAAAAATGCCGCCCTAGGCAAATGCCTTGTGGTAAATACACCCCTGTCTGTACCACTGAACACTGCTTGGAAAAGGAGGTGTTTATTGTGATACCGTTGTTTGCGTTAATAAAGCTCCCCAGCCCTAGCAGAGAACTCCATGCTCAACATTAGTTTGTAAGTAAAGTACGCTGTGCTCTGTTGGAGTGCAGCAGTCTCACCGCCAGCCATGTGTAATGGTGGTGCAGCAATCAGGAAAGCTTGTGTTTCCCGCCACCCCACAGAGCAGTGATATTTAGCTACAGATTATGGCTAGACTTACAAGGCTAGAATCTGAGCAGAATCATCCTGCTCAACTGCCAAACATTTGAGCTGCAGATGGCCCTGTGGAAAATTCTCATCAGAACATTGACTGCAGCCAATCAGATGCAGTCACTATTAGGGTATTCAGACAGCCGCAGGAGCTGCAGCTGCTTGATTACAAAAGGTGGCAGTGGAGTTTCCTTAATCCACAGTTTAGCACAGACAGGGAATGTATTTATTTTCCATTTTTTAGCCCAATCGAAAAGTGTTTAACTGCAGTTTTCCACTTTTAGCGGTTGATTTCATCACTTACTGAGCATGCAGCTCATCTTTTAACCCTTGCCTATGTTCCAGTTTAATCAGGAACCATAACTGTTGCCCCAGGTTTCCTATTTCAAAGTGGCTCCTTTGAAGCCACTTTTACATGCAGGGACAAGAGCTGTGTCTCCCTATAGCCTAGGATGGTAAGACACTCCCCGCTTCTCCCTTCTCCAAACTAACAGACTGGCTGGAGACTACATTCTCCACTGTTAACTCCCTTCTGAGAAGCCTGGAAGTTCAGGGAAGCAGCAGAGGCAGAAGGAGCTAGCGGCACTGAAAGTTGTAAACTGCAAGTGCTTTGGTATGAATTTTAACAAATAGTTTACTGGGAAATATTTATTTTGTTGTACTCAGTATATTAAACTAAATAATGCTGAGGGGTTTATACAACTTTAAAGCCGGTCACTGACTTTTTTTTTTTGCTGGGGTTGAGGGAACTACATAATGGTGAAGCTGATATCTGGATCTATTGGTGTCTTGCCAAAATTGATACTTGACACCAATTTGTAATGTATTGCACTATGCTTTAAGGCTGCATTCACACTTGAGCATTTTGTAGCTCAAAGCTCCAAAAAAGCTCAACCTTAAAAAAATCAATTGTTCTCTATGGTGCCTGTTCGGGCGATCAGATGTGAACAGGCACCATAGAGAACAATTGATTTTTTAAGTTTGAGCTTTTTGGAGCTTCGAGCTCAAGTATGAATGCAGCCTGACAGATAGTGAATACCACTGATGTGGCCTTAAAGCATGATTTACTGAACACGGCATTTTTTCTGTACACATTTTCCATGTAGTGAATGGAACATTATTGTAGCTTGAGTTATGCTTGCTCTGTGCAGTGTCCGGAAAAAGTACATGGAGTGCTGGCAACTCAGCTGACAAAGTAAAATGTCAGACATCTGTTTTCACTAGCCTGTTCAAGGGAGACAGTAAAGTATTTGGAAGTTGACTAGTTGCTGTGGGCAACAAGAGCATTTTTCCTGTTTTTTTTTTGGCTGGGTTGGAGGAGTTTTATTAACACAAACAATAAAAACAAACACGTATATGGGCAACAAAAGCATTTTTCCTTAATTAGTAGAAGTGGTTTTGAAGCCTGATGGGGTTTTTTTTTTATTCTATGCATTAAGGTAAAGAACCTTCAGTGAGCAGCTCCCCCCTTACACTCACCTGAGACCAATCCGGGTTCAAAGATGTGCATGAGAGCAGAAGCTCTCCAAGGTCTCTGCCTCCTCATTGGCTCCTGATGCTGTCAATCACATCCAGTGAGGAGGGAGTGGGCCAAGACGCGCTCTTTGTGTCTCATTGACACACAGAGGTGGCTTGAAGCAAGGATGCATGAATGCCTGCAGAGCAAGTAGCTTGCTTCGGGGGCACTCAGCAGGGGGAGGTGCCTGGAATGCCAGCGGAGGACCCAAGAAGGGAAGGATCAGGGCTGCTCTGTGCAAATGAGTCAAAACCTTAATCACTTTAAGTCTGATCCACCTTATATGGACAATGTTTTTAGGTCTGTAGGCTAGGTATGACCATTATCTCCTATCTGAACCTTCAAGGGTAATCACCTGTCCCCTTCCTTTTAGCCTATCAACATGAAGGGCTGCCTGAATGTGCATAGGACAGGATCAGACCAGGCAATCATGAAAAGAACTTTTATAAATCAGAATGAACTATAATTCTGTGCCTGCACTGCCAGCATATTAATTTTAAAAGTGATAGAGCAACTTTGAATCCTTGTTAAACGCAAACTATACATAAGGCACAATCATAAAAGGATATTAATCGTCTCATCGAGGTCCTCAAGGTCCCACTCAATGCTCCTCAGATTGTTACGTAGTTCATTAGTGGTCCAGTCCAGCTCCTCCCGGGTAGCAATAGAAGGATCCTGAAGAAGATCTGTCCATCGCTGAAACAGACCCTGTGCTGTGTTCACTGCTTTTTGGACCTCCCTGAAAAATGTAAAATCAACCAAAACCAAGTAAGTGCCAGCACATGATCACACTAGGCAAATATCTTGACACCAATGATTCAAACACTGTTATTGAAAATTTATCAAGGTCTGATAGGGGTATGATAGTGCTGGATGGAGGTGAGTAGATATTAAATCAACTAAAAAAAAAGAATAAAGTGCATTTTTCTTGCCAGAGTTTAGTTTGTAGTCCAGGTAAGTACTCAGTTCTGGGCCTAGGCTATTGCCTCTTGGACCATGAAAGTCAAATTGCTCAACAATGTTGGGGTATGTGGTTTGGAGAAAATCTGATAGAACCAATGTGCATTGGGGGAATGAACAATGACTTGAACAAGGGTCTATAATGCAATCTGGGTGAAAGAACACAAAAAGTCCTACTCAAGGCTGGATTGAGGTCAGGGTTTCCTAATGGCAATGTAAAGAAATCTAAATTTAAAGTAGAGCTCCACCCAAAAGGTTCCGCTTAAGTCCTCTTCCCCAACTCCCTGTTAAGGATTGATTTTGACAGGTACCTGCTCCCATTTCCACTGCGATCACCTAGGCAATCAGAAGTGGAAGTTACCTCCCCCCCTCCCGTAGTGTTCCGTAACCGGATCCAGAAGACTATGGAACCATTCACAAGGAGCAGTGCTGATCAAACTTGAGCAGTGGGTGCCCACACTAAAGATGCCGGAGAGAGAGAACGGCCGGTGAAACAGCTGAGCACACCGCTGGATCGTGAGACAGGTGAGTGTCTTTTTTTTTTTTTTTTTAAAAGTCACAATAGATCACCTATTACCTGTTTTAGATTTCTGGTGGTGAGCCCAGCCCAATCAACTACTTCCTATGATACATACGGACACTACCAATAAAAAAAACCCTGTCATGTTCCTGGTAAACTGATCATATGGTGTGTGATGTTTTTTATCTCCCTCCTACCCAGAGCTGGCAGTAGACTAATGTCTGTGTTAGCCTGGTGGCACGTAGCTTATTGAGCACCGATTTTTCTCTCTCTTTTATCTGAAGTATGGCAGCCCCACAGTACACTGATTATGGTGAAGTCTGACCAGGGCCGGATCTAGCCTTTTCGATGTGGAGGTGCAATAAAAATTGTCAGGGGGACAGAGGATGGGAGGTCAGCAGAGCAGAGGACAGGGGTCACTGCTAGCCAGGCAGAAGACAGAGGTCACTACTGGCAGGGCAGAGGACAGGGGCACAGCTCCTTCTGCCATCTCTGCACTGCACACAGCCTTGGCATAGGCAGCAGAGCTCCTCCTCGCCACAGTATAGTGTCAGTCAAGGATGGTATAGTGTCAGGCTAGGGCTGTACAATGTCAAACTAGGGTAGTAAAGTATCAGAATAGGGCAGCATAGTGGCAGCGTAGTGCAGTATAGTGGCATATTACGGATGGCTCATCTGGTGGGCATAACCCACCCCAGCACCCCCCTAGATCTAGTCATGAGTCTGACCATAATCAAGACCAGTGTCTCCATACTGTGGCCCTTTGCTTGTTTATCCAGCCCTTGGAGAACTATTTCATCCACGGATACCAACAATGGGACATTTATTATTTATTTATTTCAGGTACTTATATAGCGCTGTGTATTTACGCAGCGCTTTACATATATTGTACATTCACATCAGTCCCTAACCCTCAAGGGGCGCACAATATAAGGTCCCGGACCCTAACTCACATTCATACATACACATACTAGGGCCAATTTGGACAGGAGCCAACTCACCTACCGCAATGTCTTTGGAGTGTGGGAGGAAACCGGAATACCAGGAGGAAACCCACGCAGGCACAGGGAGAACATGCAAACTCCAGGCAGGTGGTGCCGTGGTTGGGATTTGAACCAACAACCCTAGTACTGCCAGGTGGAAATGCTAACCATTTAGCCACTGTGCTGCCCATAATCATTTCCTGCACTGACACCAATGAAGGGGCACATTTCCTCCCACTCACACCAATGATGGGGCACAATCCCTCCCAATAACACCAACAATGGGGCACAATTCCTCCCAACGACACCAACAATGGGGCCCAATAACACCAACAATAGGTCACAATTCCTCCCAATTACACCAATGATGGGGCACAATTTCTCCCACTGACACCAACGATGGGGCGCTATTCCTTCGACTGACACCAAAGATGGGGCATTATCTATTCCCACTAACGTCAGGACCATTTCTACTCCCAACAGCCAAAGTTCCGTCCTCTTAAAGTCGGAAGGACAGTAAACTGTCCCTTTGTTTAGAAAGTTTGGAGATCCCTGCACTAGATTACATAATGGTTCTAGAAACACTGGTATGCAATTAAAGTAAGATGAACAAAAAAAATTATATATATATTAGTTTTAACTGAGACCATTATGCAATGTCTGCTTTAGACGTTGACCTAAGAAACCAAAAGTAAACAACATTTAAATAGCAATAATTTCCCATAGAGACACATCCTTCCTCTGCACTCAGAATAAAAGAAACCTATTCCACCATCTCACAAATCCCAATTTAGATTTACAGCACACATTTCATAGCATTGTAGTGCTATAAAATGACTCCAGCCCCCACTTGACAATGTAACGTACACCATAAAATCACAGGAAGTACACTTCGCACAAAGTAGCAAACAGAAGCAATCTACACCTCTGTAGGAGAGGCTAGCAACAGGTATTCAATCTGTCACATCGCCTTACATGGGATCATCATAAGGGAGCCCATTTACTTTCTGGCATTGCTGTTCGTTCCAATGTTGCGTTCCACTGAGATGTCCCTAAAGCACTAGATCACTTTTATCCACATACGTATGTAGGATAAATGCACAATTTATGTGCATTTTACACACTTTTTACCTGTGGTTCCATTGATTTCTATTAGGTAGCATGGTTCTGCCTTGTTTTCTGAAAGTGCACCAAAGATACAGCATGCAGGACTTTTGGTGCACTTTCACAAAATGCATTCATGTAAAGGACAAAAGGAAGGGTGGAGTGCAGGGACTTTCAGTAAAGTTGTTCTAAAGGGAGGTTGGCAACCAGTCGATCGACCACGGGCAGGTGACAGGTAGATTGTCAACAGGTCCCTGCACCATCAACCCTTGCCTTGTAGTTGCGAGTCCCTCCCTCTCCTTCCCCCAGCCTCCTCCGCTGCTGTCATCCTCAGTGCACAGAAGAGAGGAGTGGAAGGTCGGTCCTAGCAACCAATTACCAGCTTGAGAATATGAAAAGTTCATTTGGCCAGCTCCTCCTCCAGCTCTCTGTCCTGAGCTGTGATACCTTCTGCTCTGGGGGGGGGGGGGGGGTGAGGTGCAGAGGACACTGCTATGGGTAGGGCCATCCCCATAGCAGTGCCCTCTACCGCCCTTCAGTCTCCTCTGCCCCCTTTTTCCCCCATAGCAGTGTCTTCTCCCCCCCCCCCCCTTTCCTCCCATGAACAGGCATTTTAAAAATCTGAATTCTCACCAAGTGGCTAGTTATTGGGATTTTTCTAAGTTCTAAGAAGTTCTAAAGTTTGCTGCCAATGGGGATGAGCTGTAAGGGCATTTTCACACTGGAGTGATTTTACCACGATAAAATATGCCTTTCCAATGCAACAAAAGTGCATGAAAATTCTTCCCCTTCACATCCTAGGTAACTGTTCAGGTTTCTGCGCTGCATTTCTGCACCACAAATGCACCTTGCATTGTAAGTCAATGGGAACACATCTGAGTTCTTTTGAGTCACATGTCCATCTACAGGTGCATGCTGGGAGTAAAAAAAAACAGAAACACGTCAAAAACAAATAAAAGTGGAACCTTAGTCAGAAAATTAAGCTCTGCTAGATCACTTCAGGCTGGCCCCTTCTGCAGATATAGCTATGTAAAAAATTAAAAATAAGTTCCTATACTGTGTAAAATCCGTAATACACTGTCTCACCCGGCTCTGCACATGCTCAGTTGCTCTCTATTTTTCAGCACTGTATTGAAAAATGTAGAAGCCGATCTGCTGACAGCCCAAAGATTTACTGCTGTTCAGGGGTTCTAGGCTTCAACAAAATGGTAACCTCCAGCAAGAAGAAACAGGAACATGATGGAGACCATTTACAGCACACACTAATTTTGGTAGCATAATTATTCATGTGGAATGTTCCTAAAGAACTTTATTTTTTATCAAGTTTATAAAAACTTTACCATAAGATTAAAGTTCCGCTTTAAAAATGTGTAAAAAAAACATGAAATGCGTTTTTGAAAAGAAAGAGCAAAGCACGTTTATAAGTGCACAAGTGTGAAAGGGCCAAAGGCTACATTCAGACAGCCAATTATCTGGAGCCATGGGTAACAGCTGACAAGAATCTGTAGATTCTAACAGATGGCTGATAAAACACTGCCTTCGCATATCTGACTGATGGGGGCTGTTAAATGTATACTCTGTACTGCTGCTGTTCTTGTGGAACCGCTCATCCCGGCAGTTGCGCACAAGTGCTGATCGTGGACGCAGCCAGTTTGTATGTGTCCATTGGACAGAGCGGTTCTGCATCCACAGGCAATGTTTAGAATTGCTTCACACTAGTGCAACTCCAAAGTTGCGCGATTTCCGGTGCGGATTGCTTGCGTGGGTTGCCGCTTAGGTTGCATTTGCATCTGTGCACTTCTGAACGTGTGACACACATTTTCTTTGTGAGTTTCCATGCGTTGTGAAACATGCAGATATGAATGCAGCCTAAATGGATACACAATCTGAAAAATGCAGCAAAGAGCGCGTTTTCTGTGCGGGTTGCTGCTTGTTCTGAAACATGCAGATGTGAATGCAGACTAATTGTTAAATTACATCCCAATCGCAGTTAGCAGACGCAAGTTTTACCGTGTGACAAAAGTGCTACAAATTCGCAAAAAAAATACACAACCAAAAAGGTTTCTGGGCTACTTTGGGCCATTTGCTGCAAAGGCACCCTATGCGCGATAAATACACAAACAATTGCGAGTGGGAAACGTGCATTTCTGCTACACTCTGGTGTGAATGGAATGTGCTAGAGGATA